TAAAAACTCAAAATTTTAAACCAAATATTGTAATGAAACTCTGCTTTCTTAGGAAAGAGCTCATTCTGAAAGTAGTCTGTTATAAAAGTAAGTTTCATAATAATACTACCCCATCCAATTCAAAACCAGGCTGGTCAATCAATTTTTGACTAAAAAACATGTAAGTGGTTATAAGAGAAGTTGGAAAAGTCAACTGTGGGACTTGAATGAAAATCTTGCTCATTGATATAATTGCAGCAGGATTATTCCCATCATTTGTATTTGTTCTCTTCACAATTAACAGTACGATTTAAACTTTAAAAGTATTAAGGTGGTAGAAAACAGTATAAATAAAATTGGAATAAATGTTTAATATTTTAAGGATTAAACATTTAATATTCAAGGATTATTAAATTGCTGCTTGTTATATATGAACAATACATATTTCAAGATAAGCTCAGAATATGAAATTATGTCCTTGTGTTTTCATTATTTTCCATTTCAGTGTTTTTAGTACATATTGTACTTTTACCATGTATTATTACTGCCCTTAGAATGTGCAATCAAACACATTCTGGATTCTTTCCAGAAACAAAAATTTAAAAAAAGATCAGTCAGTAAACTTCATTAGACACTTTCTATGTGCCAGGCATTGTGCTATGCATTGATCCCTTCCCTTAAGGAATCCGTAGTCAAATGGGGTGACAACGTTCAAACAACAATATAAAAAACAAGTTATTTATAGTTGTATATAGGATAAATTAGAAATAATCAATAAAGAGAAGGCCCTAGAATCAGGAGGGATCAGGAACTTAGAACTTGGAAAGTCAGGGAAGCCAGGAGGCCGAGAGGAAGGAAATCAGTCACTGGAGGACAGCTAGTGAAAATGCCCAGAGTTAGGATGTAGCATGTCTTGTGTGAGGAATAGCAAGGATACCAGTGTCGTTGGATCTCACTCAGAGTATGTGGTGGGGTGGGGTGGGGTGAGGCAGAAAATGACTGGAAAAAAAGCGGGGGAGGCAGGTTATGGAGGGTTTTGAATGGCCAACAGAAGGTTTAATATTTCGTAATGGATGTGATAGGGAGCCAATGGAGTTTATTGAGTTGGGGGTGGGGGGGGTGTAGTCAGAGCTACGCTTTAGGAAAATTAATTTGATAGTCGAGTGAAAGATGGACTGGAGTGAGGAAAGGCTCGTGGTGAGGAGACCAACCAGTAGCTATTCCAGTAGTCTAGGCATAAAGTTTTGAGGGCCTGAACCAGGGTGGTGGCATTGTCAGAGGAAAGAATGAGGCATTTTCAAGAGATTAAGAGTAGTAATGAAAAGTTGGCTGTGGGAGAGAGAGTTAAAAGGTAAAGTAATTGTAGCGTTTGTGTTCATGTTCAAGTAGGCTTTAGTTAAAATAGAAGGGGAGAGAAGAGTTTAAAAACTGAAAAACAAGGAACAAAACTAAGGGAAAGGAAGAATAAATGGATGAGTAAGGACTTTGAGTGGGCAAGCTACAGGTTATTCTCATTTCTACTTGTCTTTTATTTCATATATGATCTGATTTCTTTTAGGCTTCAGATATATGGAGATAAACTTATTTCTATATTTCACATAATACATAATCAAAATATATGTGTTGCTTCAAAAGTTGGTAAGAGATTAATTACCAGGGTAATCACCAGATAATAATACTTACCAGATAATAATAATTATTGTATTTGATGATACAATAAAAATACTAAAATCCCCTTTTCTTCATTTGAGCTTGGCTTACTTAAAAGCAATTTAACAACTCCTAAACATTTTATTGACATTTTTTGTTTTTATATCCATCTCTTCCCACCCCCATTGAAGCCTCCCTTCCAACAAAGAACAGTGAAAATCAACAGACCTGGTGACCATGTCTGACAGAGGATATGACTTCATCCATAGCTCTCTAACTCTCCATCACAAGAAGGGAGATGTGTGTCATCTTCTGTTTTACGGGACCAAGTTTGGGCCAGAACAGTTATTCAGAATTCAGCTTGCTTAAAGTGTTTGCTTTGTGGTAGTCATAGCATTTAGTGGTACCCTGGGCCCGCTTCCCTCCGCATTCGTTCATATAAGCCCTCCCATGTGGATTTGAATTTCTTACATTGATGACTTCTCATCTGGGCTTTTTCTCTGGCTGTCCCCCATGTGTGGAACTTTGTCCTCTACTTCGACTAGTGATCTCCATGGTGTCCTTGAAGTCCTGTCTGAAGTCCCATCTTTTATTGGAAGCCTTCTCTTAGTTCTAGTGCCTTCCCTC